ACACAAGCTGACTGGCAGGTGAGGACATGAAAGTAATATGGATTCACTCTTACGTGCAAGAAGCCTTCTACTGGCTTACGATGATCAACTTCTGTTGTAAACATGGTGCAAAGCAAGTCGCCTTTTATAATGAGCAAGAGGACATTATTGCCAAGGAGTTTTGATACTATGACAGCCAAAATGGACCTCCACAGCACAGTGTCCCATAGAACTTTCTGCAGCGATGGAAGTATTTCACCTCCGTGCAGCCCAGTGTAGTAGCCAGTGGACACACAGTACTGTTGGTCTCTTGAAATGTGGCTGGTGCACCGAAGAACGGATTTTAATTTAATTTTAATTAATTTAAATAGCTCAGGTAGCTAGCGGCTAGTATTTTGAGCTGCACAGCTCCACAGCTCAGGCAGGGCCATTTTTAAGGTATGTAAATTAACGTGAGAACACTTGGCATGAGAGGGGGATCTCGCGTCTGTCTTTGGTCTCAGCCATTTCTGTGTTTCTTATGAGATTTGGAAAAAGCGCAGGAGGCTGAGAGGAAGAGCAGCGATTAGAAAAGATGGAAGAAACCGCCTCACTGTGAGGGCTCCCGGCATCTGGCATTGAGGGCGAGGTGGCGTTTGTTTCGGGGAGGGAGATCTTTCTCGAGACTCTAGAGAGCTTACTGCTGCTCATTTGAGGTCATTTAAAGGGTGGGGGGCAAAATCGAAATAAGACTATGTACTCATAAATAAGTTTTAAATGGCTTTGGAACAAAAACGTGTGCGCGTTTATGTCAGAGTGATTTCTGTTTCCGTTTAGCACCGTGTGCCCAGAGAGTACCACTCTAGAGACCCGAGAATCAACCTGACCTTCCGGACAGTCTGTCCAGACCCTCACGGGGCGCAGCGCTGATGCGGAGTGTTTGAGAGGGATGCGGGGCTGAGACTGAGCAAACCTCCCGCCATAAAGCAACTTCAAGAGGCGGGTCCAGCCGCTCTCGTGTTGTGGCTGCTTGGAATACAAAGGTGAAATCGTCTTCGCAGCCGTCCACGTTCATAACATGCTTACTGTGGGAGCAGCAATCCCTAATCTCATCTCGAAATCACGTATTTTCTTTAGGTTAAATAAAAACTGCTTTGGCTCTGTTCACGGACGACTTTGTCCATAAGCAGTGTTTCTGTTTCATTGGAAGAAATATGAATGAACTTTGCCGCTGGGGTAAATCCACACGTGTTTGTTCCTTGTGACTTTACTGAAAATATAAATATTCTGTAGGCAGACAGCTGCTGAAACCCAAACAGAAGCGGCTTCGCAGAGCTTTGTTGAAGCCTGCCTGACTCCGTAACGTCTTGGCTGTGTGCCGAACGTAATGGAAAGCTGCACGTTCGGAGAGCACTTCCTCTAACTGAGTTTTCTCTCCTGTCATTCTTCCCAGGACACGCTGAGATGGGTTACAGGCCTCCGAATCACGAGTGAAGGCGGTGTTCGCTAGGCCAGCCGTCTTCAGGGCCTACCTGTAATACAGGAGAAAACTGTCCCCTCAGAGGGAGGAATACTTGAGTGACGTCATGAGAAATTTAGGCCCCAAAGCAGCAAATGCCCTGTCAGTGACCGCTGTTCCACATAGATTAGTTTCCCCTAGAGAATCGCTCAAGTCACTTAAACCCGGAGAGAGGAACGGAGCAGTCCTGCAGGGAATAGACCCGGTTACCCCGTAGTTCCCTGCACTTCAGCTTTCAGTAGCTCTATGACGAAGGCTTTTTTTCTGACTCAGTGATCTCTTAGACACAAGTTCCTGACATTCAAGGGTTAGTCCATGATGTCACCAAGGTTCCCAAAACAGAACAGAGTGGCGACCCCTTATTGCATCAAAAAAGCATGTGTCTTCCTGACCCCCTGACTTAGGAGCAGTGTGCCACATTAATCCCAAACCAAGACATGGAAAACCCGAGAGAGAAAATGGATGAAAATAGGGCAAGGAGTCAGAGAGCTTCCCTAGCTGCCTGTGGGGGAAATTTACAGAGCCTTCTCGCTTTTGGTCTTATTTCTTATTGCTGTAAGAGTGATGCCAGAGGCTAGGCAGGCTCTTCCCCAGAACTCAGAGGTGACGCCGCCCTGGCCAGGCTCTGTTCTCTGACAGGCTCCCTGGCTTCTTGCACTGGAGTCCCCACTTTTGTTTTTAATGGGTTCGCATGAGTACATACAGCTCCTTTTTCTAAGAACTCCTAAACGTTTTATAAAATCTGAGCATCCTACTAAGCCTTCCTGTGAGGGAGGTACAAATCACCATAAAAATAAAATAAAACCATTATTTAATTTCTAGCTTTTCTTCTATTAAAACAAACAAAGCCTGGCCGGGGTGGTACAGCCAGCTTGAGTTATGAGTTGGATACGTGACACTGGGAAATTCCTCTTCCGTTCCCACACAGGAAAGAGCGGGCAGATGGTTCCCAGTCCCACAGTCCCTCCGAATTCAGGGTCGTGGTTTCCCCTTGTGTCAGCTGCAGGTTTGGATCTCTCATCCCATCGCTGCTATGTTGTCGGAGAAACAAATTCTTGCTTGGCAGCAGACACCTTGGGCCGCCACCTGGGTTTCTTCATCTGAGAGAGCAGAGTCTTAGGTTTCGTTTCTTGCTGTCAAATGCCATTTTTCCACCACTACGATAATGTCTCTTCTGTCAACGTGAAGTAGGTACTTGCCAGGGAGTAAAAGTGCAGGGTGTAGGACTGGACAGGAATTCCAGACCCTGGCAAAGGACAGCCACGTTCAGTGACTGCGACAACCTGTTGCTGTGTTTTACTGGTGGTGGATCTGAACTAGGAATTAGGGTGAAGCTGTTTTTGCCAACATTTCTTGTAAAGCAGAGGAGGCAAATATAATGGCTGTAAGCATGAAAAAGAAAACAGGTGTAGTTATTTAGCTGTCCTTTTTTTTACACTTTAAATTAAACCTGCCAAGCAATGTCCTAGGAGCTTTTACACACACAAACAGTTCCTAATCCTCTCCACAGGTCTGTAAGAAAGATCCTGTGTTTATTGTAGAGACCAGGCAACTGAGTCTCCAACAGGTTAAGTCATTTAACAGGATTTATAAATGGCTGGGCCAGAATTCAAAACACAGGTTAATCCCTAAACTGCTTTTTCCTCTGCCGTACTGAATTGAGGGCGAATAGTCTACTCGGCACGCCTAGGACCCTGAGCCTCCAGGGCTTGCTCCTGCAGAGCTGGTGACCTGCTGAGAGAGCTGACTACCAGGCCACCTTGTTCCCTGGCTTCCCTGTGCATCAGGACAGCCATATGCACTTTCTCCTTACTCAGTGTTATAATCTAGTCAGAAACTGTGCTGTCAAATGGGCCAGTATTAGGCCTTTTTTCCTAGGGAAGCTCAGGTTGAGGGCACAGAATCCAATTAATGGTGAGTTAGACAAATTCTCATTCAACCTTCCTGGCAACTGACTCAATAGTGTTTCCAGACCATATCTAAGAAACTTTCAGAGGTAGATGAGTGGTCCCTTCCCCCATTCTTATCTGTGAGTACATGTGGGTATCTAAATGATACCCAAACTCGGCATCCGGCTTCTTCACGATTCCCAGCACCACCACAGCCCCAGACAGCAGACGGCCTGAAGAAATGGCTCCCGTGGTGACGCAGCAACTTGCCTCAAAGTGCGGGCCGGAACAAGGCACACCCGGCATCAGATTGTATCCCTAGTATTGCAATCAGGATCTACATTGTTGCCAGCTGGACCACTAACTCAGGTGGCATCGGTGATTCCAAATAAGTTTGGGTCACAGCTCACTAACCCGTCACTTTCTTGTGGCACTCACTCCCTGCTGCCTCCATGGCTCCTGGCGACTGGCAGGTCTGCCTGGACCGGGTCAGCGAGTGGAGTCTTCTGAGCTGGTTATGGCCACCCCAAAAGAGTTAAGTGAGCACCAGGATGAGTAGAAAGCTCCAGTTGGAGGGCTTGAGAGAGAAGACCTGACTCACGACGGGTCCCTGCCCTGCTGGGAATATTTCTTCCTTGAGTTCTGGCAGCTTTTATTTGGCTGCAGGAGACCCACTTTGCCTTTTCTGGTCATAAACACTTGTAGTGTTGAATCTGAATAGTTGATTTTTTTTTTTTTTTACAAGGCCTTTGAAAAAGCCGAATGTTTCCATAGCGATGCATTCTGTTTGTTTAAATCTTTACTTATACATGGTTCCACCCACATGCTCTCCCCGGAGGGACCAAGTCTGGAACTGTCCCCTTCCCCACTTCCTTATTTTCTCTTTAGAAGGAGCCCTCTTTTGAGACCCCTGTCAGTTTTATGCTGTTGGAATCCATTCTAAGATATGATGATTCCTGAGTCAGGGTCAGCAGGGAAATGGCTTTGATGTTTCTTTGTTAGAGTGGATCATAGACTAATGGTGCCATTTCCAGCTGGTGCCTGAAGCACAGAAGCCTTCCTTCCCCAACTTGTGCACAGAGCCCCATGGGCTGGGCTGCTCCTTAGTGTGAAAGCTGGTTATGGGGGTCTTGGCAAAGAGCAGGTTAGGAAAACAAGATAAATTAGGCAGTCAGTAACCTTTTAGCCAGCGTTACCTGAGGGACTGTTTTCTCAAATGAGCCCACTTGGAGCTGACCACGGTATGTGTGACAGCACTTTCATTACAATTATTTCGGTGCTGTCACACCCTGGACAGCAGAGAAAGTCCCTATTTTCATGTGGCTTCTGAGAGTGTGGACATGTTTGGGCAGGATCTGGGCCTCTGACCCAATTAACTTTAACTGGATAGAAATATTCTAATTTATTCCTAAAAGCACCCCTCCGAAGTGGTTGTTTGTTTGTTTAGCAGACGAGGAAACAGATTCGTGGAGGATTGATCGGATCCTGAGACCAGCGTCCCAGGTAGGCCAGAAGGGTGCTGAGCGGTGACTTGTCCGCAGACACTCTGTGTGCTTTCTAGGCCTCTGTCCAGCCCTGGCCCCAGACGGTGGGAGGCTGTGGCCTGTGTTTTCTTGCCCCCTTTACCTGGAAGCAGCCGCAGAGACTCTGGTCCTTGCCTAGGAGCCTGGGAGCGGCTCCCTGTGGGGCAGCAGACTTGAGGAAGAGGTGGGCCTGCACGGGCTCTCAAGGGCCACGTGATCAAGCTGCAATTAGCGGCCCACCGCAGGAAGAGTGTGGGGGAGCGCGTGGTGACAGGCGCCTGCCTAGCAGAGCCTGTGATCATCCAGCTGCCCCTGGGCATGGAAGGGGAGCAAGCAGCCTCTCAGCTGGGTCTGGCTACTACCTTTCCTGAGGCAGTTAGTGGTGGAGACAGAGGGCTGCCTGACCCTCCTAAGAGGCTGCAACAAGAAGGCCCTCCCCAGGCCTTCTGATGACTGAGTGTGCGTCTGCTGCTACCGGGTCCCTCCCTGTCCTCCTTATCTGTACTTGGAGAATGGGCAGGGGTGGGACCACCTGGGAAGGGAATCCACACCCTCCAAAAGCTGCTCTGGGTTGAGGGCTGGATCTTCCTTGCCTAAAGAACCTTTGTGAGATGTATGGATGAAGGATACCGTGAGGGCTTCGCAAACTCTGGCCTAGGGGAATTTGGGCTGCTGGGACCACCCAAACAGGACAGAAGAGAGTCGGGGAGGGGGCGGGGTGCCACAGAAGTGTCTCCCTTATGCCCTCATTGGTTAGAGAGAACTTTTCTGAAATGTTTCTTCTGAAAATGTATGAAGGGATTAGTCACCCATTTCTTCTCTGCACACCCTACCCCCCGACATGGCCTTTAGCCTCTATTCACCTGGAGTGAAGGGAAAAGGAAGACGGCTAGCTTAGGGGTGCAAATGCAGGAAAAAGTCTGAATGCCTGGCTTTCCTCCCAGGCCCCTGCCCCACCGCCCCACCCCCCCAGTTGCCCCTGTGCTGAGAGGAGAGCTGGTGCCCTCTGGTGCACACTTTGTCTCCCCAAAGTCCCGTTAGGGTGAAGGTGAGGAGCTACTGTCCTAATTGGACAGACTAGAAAACTGAGGCCCAGAGGAGTTAAGTGCTCATCCAAGGTCCGCCCAGGGTACGAAGCAGAACCAGTGTGAAGACCCATATCAGGTGCCTAGGCCAGCGTTCCTTCCACCACTCTGAGGTTCCATGACCTCCTCGGAGATCCCCGGCTAAAAGCAGAATC